GTTCAGATAGAATGGTGAATGCATTGTGTGGTTTTGAAGTTAGAAGTTGAGCTAACAGTACAATAGAACTAGAATAGCTATAATTGTCCTTGTGAGAATTGTTCGTCACAGTCTGTTCTCTTAGTAAAATAATTTTAACAGGAAAGAGGAATGAGATAAAATTATGGATTTGTGACATTTCAGCAAGGAGAGAATTTCATATGTTCCCTTAATTAAATGTGGGGTGCTTTCGATTTCTGAATCTACATTAGTTACTGACAGCTAGAATAGTTGCATAATTGTCTAGTTTCCTTAATAGCAAAAATTATCCTCACTGTTACTCAAGAATTAATGCATTTCATGTAGTAGAATTTGAGATCCATCAAAATAGATTATAATTTTTTTTTAAAGTACGGTAGCTTCAAACCCATAGCATAGAATTGGAGTGTGTGAACCACACTTGTCACATAATTGTACTACTCCATACAATTCTGTTGTGGTGTCTTCTGAAAAAATTAACTGCTGTTAGTGTAACTCTTTCCAGTTAGAGTACGGGGTGCAAAGTGAAGGTTTGTGAATATACCAGTAGCTGTTGCCATTACAAGCAACTGAATTGGGAAGAGGCTGCTTTGAAAAGAATGAAGTCAGGCAGTGCATCTACACCACCATTGGAGCACATACTGTGGAGTGCTGTGTGTACATCATTTTTAATAGGCAAAGTTAGTGAGACACACTTATTGTTTTGGATTGCAAGTCACCGATTAGATGATGCATTATGCAAAGTAGCTCACTGAACTGGTGTCTTCTATCTTTTGTAACCCTTTTGTTAAAGGACACAGGGAGGGCATATAGTCATACCTCATGTTGCGTTAGGTTCATGTTGCATCTTTTTGGCTTGCGAACGTGGCAAACCCCGTAGTGTATACTTCTGGGTTTTGCCCTGCACGCATGCGCAGCAGTGCTCTATCGCACTTGCGCAGAAGCGCCGCTTTAGTTGTGGACTTGGCACCCCGGAACGGATCATGTCTGCAACTAGAGGTACTACTGTACTTTGGACTGTAGCTTTTTTAACTTGCAATAGTAGTACATTGAGGAATATAGGTACTTTATAATATGCCTACTTTATTTACTGAAATATTTATAAACCACATTTTCATATAAGATATCACAAGGCAGTATACAACCTTAAAACACAGCATTATAGTAAAAGCAATGGTTGGCAATAGGGCAGGGCAACATCGCAGTGTATCGCCAGCCAAACATCGCAGTTGGGCAGTTTACTGCAATGTTGATAAAACAAGCTGCATTGACCTCTGCTCGCGAGACAGTGCTAGCAGTGCCGCTGGAGGAAGGAACTGCTAGAAGACGTTGCTAGCAGAGGGACTTGGGAGCAGTGGCAGTTTCACCAGCGATATACCGGTCTGCTCCTCATACCGGTCCTGGGTGATATATTGATATATTGCCCAGGCCTAGTTGGCAAAGAATCTCAGGTTTGAAAGGCCAGTCTGAGTGTCTATAAAGCAGGGATTACTGCTGCTGAACCTCTGTCGACAGGGCAGGGTCTGCCACACCAAAGACTCAGCCCCTAGTAGGTTATTCAGATTGTTTCAAACAGAAGCTGTCCCTAATCTTGCTATTCTCAACTGTAGAAAAGTCTGGTGCTTAAACCTCTGTACAGCTTGACCATTTGTAAGCAAACTTCTTATGAGGAGTTATTTGAAAGCCACCAGCTTTAGCAATAATATACAGTGCATAATATTCTGTTTTTGAATATTCTGTTCCTATAGAGAGCTACACAAAAAATACTGTCTGTCTTTCCCTGTATCCTGCAATTGGGGAGTGGGAACCTCTGGTCTGTGGGGCCTTGCCATCCAGTCCACAGTTTCTCCTTCATCAGCCCTGTTCCATCTGCCTCTGCTTCACAGTAAATCGTTGCAAGCTGCTGCCGTTGCTTCCTCCTGCTGCATTTTTCATGCTGGACTCAGAGAAATATTTTCTTTCTTCTTCTTCGCCTAGCATGGAAGGAAATTGAGCTGCCAGTGGAGAAACAGATCACTCTGTTTGGGTATTAGCAGCCTGCGTTCCTTCTGTGCTGGGCTAAGGGATATAGAAACCTATAACCCCACCCAGCAACAAGGAAAGCTGAATAGAAAGAAAGTACAGTGGTACCTCGGGTTACATATGCTTCAGGTTACATACGCTTCAGGTTACAGACTCCGCTAACCCAGAAATAGTACCTCGGGTTAAGAACTTTGCTTCAGGATGAGAACATAAATTGTGCTCCGGCGGTGCAGCAGCAGCAGGAGGCCCCATTAGCTAAAGTGGTCTTCAGGTTAAGAACAGTTTCAGGTTAAGAATGCACCTCCCGAATGAATTAAGTACATAACCCGAGGTACCACTGTAAATGAATTGTGGTTGGGGGTGGATAGAAGGAAAGCATGTGGTGGAGGTGGGGTGGATGAAAAGAAAGGGGAAAGTATGGCAGAGACAAAGAAAATGGGTGTTTGCCCATTTCTGCTTACTATTGGTAAGTGGCCCTTCAACCACTGCTCCCCCAAGCCCTTGACCCAGGGGTGGGGAACCCTTTTCAGTCTAAGGACCACATTCCCTTCTGACTGAGGGAGTGGAATCTAACCTGGCCAGTGTCCCAAAGGCCAGATAGAAAGGCCTGTAGTGTCACATTTGGCCCCCTGTTCTAAGGTTCCCACCACTGCCTCAACCACATATCCCAAAAGAATGCAGCCTTTGGCTTTAAAAAGGCTCCCCATACCATCTCTATTCCTGTGCAGACATAACACCTAAGCATGTTTTTCCCTTTAATTAACTGTGTTGCATTTCAATACCTTAAGCATGGTCTGAAAACATGGCAATGTCAAAATGCTCATCTTGTGTTTCTTCTCACTCAGTTGTAAGTATCAAGCCTGATGGCTCTTTCCACTGATGTGCTAGGCCTAGGCTAACCTAATTTTCTCAATTTGTGGTATGTGTTGGTTCACTTCCACATCTGAATTGCACATTTAGTTCTTGGTTTCACAGGTCGAGAAAGATGCTGACAGTGGGAAACAGATTTAGGGGAAATTTACAGGGGCAAAAGCAGGTCCTTTGTGGAAAACTTGAGGCATGTTAAGACTGGAGAAAACAAATGTATGCAGTCCAGAGAGTGACTTTAGTCTTACTCAACTGTGTGCATGCACAGTGGCCTGCAGATTCCTGTGCTTTATGTTTCAAACAGCTTTGGCAACTCACCTGCATTTTAAAAGCAGGTTGCTATGCAACATGCAGGGACTGCAGTTCAAGGAACTTTACTCCAAAGTGCTGATGGTCATGTGGAAATAGTCGTGCAATTCTGTAGACTGTGGGCAAAAAGAATATTGGTCAGCATCAACAAGAGCTCTCAACTAGTCCAGTGACTTTTTGACTGGTGCTTTAGTAACATAACCACCTTTGTCACATGGCAAACTGTTCCTCTTTAAATTCTAGCCATTGGTATAGTATAACATATTGCCTAAAATGCAAGATAAGTGTGCTATGCTGAAGGGAAATAATTCCTTTCAGCGGCAGCCACTTTTACCATATGGAGTCCCACACCAGAGGGCACAGGGGTTCCCACTGGGAGGAGGTAGCTTAAAAAAACCCCATGTGCAAGCAGAACATTGCATACCTTGCTGTGGAACCCAATGATTTTGAATTACATGGAGATTTAATGTTTGGGAAAATGTCCTAGTTGATAAAAGCAGTTAAGCAACTGAGTAAACTGTTTTGTGTAATTATGACATTTCGTTCCTTGGTTACTTTTAATGGGGGGGCAGATTGTATTTGTCATTAATATTTTTGTTATAGGATTTAACTCCTTGGGGAAATAAGTTGGGGTCGCTGATGCATGGGGCCCCATTCCCATATTATACACTTTGAACTGAATAGCTGAAATTAATAAAGCAGAGTAGCCTGGTAACAAGAAACAGACAAACAGCTATATTGTCACTAATTCTATGGTAACTTTGTGACATGAAAATAGTCAATTTTTCATTTATAAGTTGTGAATATTCAGGTGGATCAGTTGCTCATAAATTTCATTGGACTGCATTATTGCATGAACTGGAACAAGTATGAGTTGGCTGTGTTGTGGTAGGTTTGGAATTTGTGCAGAAGGCAATCCCCTTTATGGCTGATTTTGCATTACAGTGGTACCTTGGTTCTCAAACTTAATCCGTTCTGGAAGTCCCTTCCAAAACCAAAGCATTCCAAAACCAAGGTGCGCTTTCCCATAGAAAGTAATGCAAAATGGATTAATCCAGACTCTTAAAAACAACCCCTAAAACAGCAATTTAACATGAATTTTACTATCTAATGAGACCATTGATCCATAAAATGAAAGCAATAAACAATCTACCCCAGCCACACAATCAATCAATCAGTAGCTGAACTGGGTTCCACACAGTCACAAAAAAACAAAAAAGCGCCACAAAAACGCAAAATAAATAGCAAAAACAGACAGACCTCAGCATAACACTCAAAATGGAAGTGTGGAACTCAAATCAGAAGCATAACACTCAAAACAGAAGTGTGGCACTCAAAACAGAGCATGTTCAACTTCAAAAGAAAGTTTGCAAACTGGAACACTTACTTCTGGGTTTGCAGTGTTTGGGTTCCAAGTTGTTTGAATACCATGATATTTGAGAGCCAAGGTACCACTGTACAAGACTAAAGAGGAGCTGTGGTGAGCTGTATTGTCAGAAAAGGTAAATGGGCATTTCTATATTTGGAAGTACAAGCATTTTCTTAATGTTTTCTTTTTCTCCCCCACCCCAAGAAGTTACAGTCTCAGCAGTTTATCCACAGGATACTCAGTGTGGGGACAGTACCACATCAGAAGCAAATGTGATTAGCATTTAGTGCTTCAGAGTTAAAAGTAAAAACATGGTATTAAAAGTAGTGAATGTTGCCACTTGGTAGAATCAGCTTATTGCCTATGATGTGCTGTCAAAAAATGTTTTTTATTAAAATACGATTGAATTTTCTAGGAAGATGTGGAAACGGGAGTTCACCTTGATCCAACTACAAAGGAAGTTCAGTTCAACCCAACCTATGACACCATGTTTGCACCTGAGGTAAGCAAACTAACTTTTGTTAAAAATATGAGTAAGTTGGAACAATATTGGCTAACTTTCTTCAAGGAATATCCTGTGAATTATTAAATCGTTTCTGTTTAAAAAACAGTCCTTTTAAATTAGGAATAATACTAAATTCTACAGGTATTTCTATAAATCTTGATCTGAGGCCAAGCAAACTTGGCTTTCATTTTGTATATGTATACATCAAAATATGTAATGACATTATATTTAACCTTTTAAATTAAGTACTTGAAATGTGACGTAGGTAGTTTCTTCTCATAATAAAGCAATAATTTGCACACACAAAAGTAAAAATTGCAGGGTAGTAAATTAAAAAAAATAGAAGTCAGATGTCCTTGTGAACATCTTTTTTAAAGTCATCGTTTTAAAATTTCTATAATGAGGCCACTTAAAGTTGCAAATAGGTATGCTCATCAGGCAAAAATCATGGAATTGCACACTCAAAGTTCATTTCCATGTTCGGTTGAAATGCTTGGGATATATCATGTTCAGACCGGGGAATATTAGACGAGTAAAAGAAAACCATGCATTATTCACTGTTTATAATCTCCTAGCCAGGGGTTATGTTGTTTCTTTCTCTCTCTCCCCCATTTGTGGAATCACACAGTTGGTGGGTATACTGCATCTAGCCCCTCTCTCTCTCTCTCTCTCTGATGAATTGTCATATCTGTATACATGAACCCAAGGTAAAATTCTGAAGGTCTCATTCATAGTAGATGGCCATATGCAATGCAAGTTATTTCTACTAAATGCTCAGACAATTCATATGTTTCATGATTTGTCAGATAGGAGGGTCACTTGTACCTCTCTGTATCCCAAAGTATCATGTGTTCAAATCATGGGTACACTAAAATGTACACTAATCTGACACCATGTAAGATCTGCGCTTTATTATTTTTGCATGTTGTTTGTTTTTCTGAGTTTGCACAGTTTCAAAAATATAATCTGGATCTACCCTTATCTTCTACATTAGCAGTATTTATCATAGCAGCAGCTGAGAATGTAGAAAGCATTGTAGTAAGTTACCCTTTTAAAAAAAAATCACAAATCTTAAAAAGAAATACGCTTTAAATGAGTGCGCATAATAAAATCTACTCCAGTACAGTGGGGGGGGGGGAGGTTGGAAAATAATATTTACTATATAAAAGCTGTCAAATAAATGGACTATAAAAACAATTTAATCTCGAAATCGAATATTCCTCATGGAAAAACACCTCCGGGGAAATGCAACCAGTATAAAAATACAATATAGTTAGTTTTAATACATGCAGCTGTCAAAATCTTGAAATTGTTGCTGTCCAAAGCTGTAAGTTATTTGTGTAAGCTTGAGGCAGTTTTCCTAGGTTTAGCCAATCAGTAAGTGTAGTTTCCATTCCCCATGGAAAAGCTCATCTGAAGCAAGGATGTTAATATGTACACTAATTTTCTGTTTATTTATTTTATAAAACTTAGTCACAGTTTAGGTTTAAGTACTGATTATGAAGTTTCAACTTGTATTAAAAGCACGAGAGTGTATGGGAATGCTTCAATAAATAGAAATGGGTTTGCTCCTCTTAACCCTTGAGAAATAGCAAACAGTGCATGGAAGGAATCTGATTAGATTTAGCAAATGTGGCGCAACATTACTTTTCTGATGGTTGTGGACTTATTCATTATTTTAGGTTCTCTGTGGGTTATACTATACTTTACAGTAGCTGGTTTATGAGGTGCCAGCAGTTGGACAGGTCACCTAGCCCCCAGAGCCATTTCAGCGATAACAGGCAACACTGCCAAGCTCGGTTTCCATCCATGGTGCCCACTTGCTCGGAAAATGTGCTAGCCACTCATTTGTTTTGCTGGTCAACTTGTATGCAAAGGCTTTAAAACAGAAAGCTAGTAGGATGGATCACAGTGGATGTTGTCATCAGGACAGCCTTCTCCAACCTAGTGTCTTCCACATGGTTTTGGATTACAACTCCCATCATGCATGACCATTGAACATGCTGCCTGAGGCTGATGGGAGTTGTAGTCCAAGAACATTTGGAGGTCATCAGGTTGGGGAAGACTGGATTAGACTAGAGTTGTTGAGCCTTAGGTTAAAAAGCCCAACTAGTTGTGCAGCTCACTGAGTGACCTTGGGCCAGCCAGTCGCTACATCTCATGTTTGTTAAGGATAAAGTGGGCAGGAAGAGAATCACTTTTATTCCCCCGAGAACCTTAAAAGAAGAGCAGGATGAAAATGTTATCAATGCATGGATGCACATATGCATGTAAGTAAAGAGTTGCGTGTGAAATGGCCTTTATTTTTAATGCAGTTTGGGCCGGTGAATCCATTTAGGACTCAGCAGATGGCTGCACCTAGGAATATGCTTTCTGGATATACAGAACCAGCACACATTAATGATTTCATGTTTGAACAACAGAGAAGAACATTTGCAACCTATGGTAAGGTATATTTTTTAGATAATCCTTTTGTGATCTGGAATCTGCTACATTTGTCTGTGGTTGACATGGTCTGATAAGAGTTCAAAGGTTTTATATATACTCTTATTGGTTCTAAATGTTAGCTAGTTCAGATAATTAGAAAAGGGATCCGATTAGGAGTGTAATATCGACATGTTATGTCCTATACAAGGCCATTGATCTTTGTGCATGGGTCAGTACACAGTCAATAGCCGCTTGAGGTCCTTGTCTTCCAGTTTGGAGACCTAGAGGTGGCATATGCCGTATCCCTGTTTCCACCAGAATTGTCAGAAACTACGGAGCATGGAGTTTTTAGTTAGCCAGGTAGCTTTAACGTCTCAGTCACTCTTTTATTTGCTAATGTTCACCCCCCCATCTAAATTTTAATTACATGAACTCTGAGGTGGGAGTTCATAGAATCATAGAATCATAGAGTTGGAAGAGACCACAAGGGCCATCGAGTCCAACCCCCTGCCAAGCAGGAAACACCATCAGAGCACTCCTGACATATGGTTGTCAAGCCTCTGCTTAAAGACCTCCAAAGAAGGAGACTCCACCACACTTCTTGGCAGCAAATTCCACTGTCGAACAGCTCTTACAGTTCATTATTCAGCATACAACACAGGCAGAAATGTACTTGAGTCTATAAGATAGTTGAAGCTTATTTTAATTACTATGTGCTAAATGTATGTTAAAGTATGCCACAACTACTTATTTGTATTTATATTTGTTATATGATAATTTGGATTTCTTAATTTGTATTTGTGGGCTAGGGGGTGGTTTAAGGGCTTTCGCTGGGGAGTGTATTTTTTACTAGTTTGTATACATTAGTATTGTTAATTGTTTTAATTATTTTTGTTCTGTATTTTGTGAACCACCCTGAGACCTATAGGTATAGGGCAGTATCCAGAATTTAAATAATAGTAATAGTAATAATTTCTACCTTCTAATGTAAGTTGAAAGCGCTGTTGAGATTGAACTGCACTTGCTCCAACATATGCATCATGGTGAGATAAGTGTTTTGGTTATTATGTATTTTCCTAAAATAACTAAATAAGTACAGAGCATACTATATCTGCAAGACATGCCTCCAAACTCTTGTCTCTTCAGAAGCTGCTTTGATTCCTAGAACCATTAATGCCGTCCCTTTTCATGCTGGTTCCCCTGGAAACTGCTAGGTTATCCAGGAGTTATGGTTACCCGATCTGTTCCAATTGTGAAATGCTGCTAGAGAAAGTCGAGCGGTGCTGTTGTTAATTCAAGTGGTAGTTAATATCATGAAGAGTATTGTATCTTTTCTGAATTTTGTGTGCTACGATTTCGATCCTGACATCCACTAGCAGCTTCTTTGAAAAATGAAGCCTACTTATAAGAGTAACTTGAAGGAAGTGTCAACTAGTGAATGGTATTTCACTATTCAATAGCTTTTGAGATTATTTTGTAGATGTCCTCTGAAAGAGGATCAGTGAATAGGAATTTCACAACAATAGTGGTAGTGAACACAAGGGCAGCAATTCTGAGAAGTACATCTAAACATTGTGCAAAAAGATTGAAGTCTAAAAAGACTCCCTGTGTCCATTCCATAAGCCTCGTGTTGCTGCTTTAAGCAATCCTATATGTCAGACAGTCAATTGATTGTGGCAAGTAGAGGGAGGAAGCATCTTCAAGAAACCAAAAGAATGGCTACATAGAAAAAGGAAGACCCTGTCCTTTATTCTTTAGAGAATACTCATTGATGGGGCACATGCTTGTATGCAGAATGTCCCAGGTACAGTTCCCAGCATTTCTAGATAGGGCGTGGAAAGTCATTTGTCTGAAACCCTGAAGAACCACAGCTAGTTAGCGTAGCTAATATTGAGTTGACAGACAGACTTATTTCAAGAATTTAAATGCGGACTAATTACAATAATCTCTTAAGTAGTATTTAGCACAGGTATTTAGCACAGTATAATGAACATAAAAATCAGTTACAACTATAAAATCAGAACACAGTTAAAATGTCTGCAGAAATAATAACAATAAAAGTCTTCAGTAGCTGCTGGGCATCCAACAGGGAGGGACCTGTGCAATCTCAGCTGGAAGAATTGAGTCCATAACAGCTTCTGGTGGATCCAGACTGTGCATCTGAGCCATGAGGATCTGCTGATAGTGATTCCCCAAAGAACTCCGTGATAAGGAACGGATATAATGAATCTGGTGGTCCTTAGGGTATCCTGGACCCAAGCTGTTAAGGGCTTGGTAAATTGATACCAGAACCTTGAACCTAGCCTATGGGCAGCCAATATACAGGCAGCCAGTGAAAGCTTTTAAGCACCAGAGTGGGAGCAATTGTCTGTCCCTATCAACAGTCTAGCCACAGCTTTTTGCACCAGCTGGAGCCTCTTGTCCAGACCCAAACGTAGCCTTAGTCTTGGTATAAGGCAGCCTCCGATGTTCTGAGAGCAATTTCCCATTTTAACTGAGATTTTTCAAATAAACAAAAATTACATAACAACAAACAAGACACATAAGAGGGCAACCATTTCTGAGCAGCACCAGCTTTACAAATAATCCCAAAGCCATTGGAATCTGCTAATCACTAATGCCTATTCCAATATGATGTCTGAAATGGTTGTAAATGAAAGTAGACAGAATGGATAGCAATCTGTGGAGAATTTTTTTATCTCCCATCCGCGTATACTGTTTTGGAGAGCTCTCCAAAGATAGCCCTTAATGCACCATTGCAATGTCTGTATATATGGGGATATGTGCATGTTGCCTTGGAATTACGGTAAATATTGGTGTGGTTTCAGTGTACTTTATAAGAAGAAAAATACTTTGCTTTCCTATTGCATCCATGACATGGTGAGCGATTTCTCTCTGTAAAACCACAATAAAATAATTTTCTAAATACCAGGGTGCAGAGAAGGACATATTGTCTGTCTCCAAGAATGCAAGCTTCTTTGCACAGGAATGCACTTCATGCCTAAAATGTTGCTAGCATAAGACAAAGGCACCATTGTTCAGTTACATCAGGCTAATAAAATACGCTAGGATGTTGGCAGTAGGAACTAATAAATCTAATTCATCCAGATACTAGGCTGTCTTCCAGGCCCATCTTAGTGCTCCACCATCACAGTGCTGGTAGCTGGTCATAGTCCTTACGCTAACATTAGGCACTAGAATTTATTTTCAGAGAAGCAAAAAAAGAACAAAGCCTCAATTTTGCCCCAACTCTTGCATTTTGTCTTTAAGTAGGTACATTATGTTTCAACCTAGAAAGAGCATTATAGTACGTTTGACATTATTCACTCATTCAGAACTTATTCTTCACCAGCTAAAATATGGTTATACCCATTATGCTTTGTCAAGGCCGTTGAAGTCCTTCGCTTTTAGGAAGGTAGCCAGTCATTACATTCAAGATCTTTGCTGTCAGGTTGCAGAGGAGCATTTTATTTTCAGGGGATATATGGAAGGAGAGCGATATCTGGGAATCAGAAGGGAGAGTATTGTTCTTTTTCCATACTCTGACCAGTAATAAAACATTTCTCTACTATCCATAAGCAAGATTCTACCTGCTGCATTATTGAAGCAAGTTTCATGCTGCCAGTGTATTATTCTACCCTGAGCTTGACCTTTGTGTGAATAGACAAACTCTGTGGTTTCATTTGGAAGGGAGCCATTCAGCTGCCTTTTGTCAGCATGCATGCTGGCTAGTGGCACTGCGGATAATTCCATCTTGCAGTGATAGCATTTATAGACCGGATGTTACTGAAACGAATAGTATTTATTAGCAGCCACATACTTGTGTTGACCACATCACTTTCATTGTGTTTTATGTCAAATAGGAAGGAAGGAAAGGATCCTTCTTGGTCAATCTTGTGTTTTTGGACTGTGCTTTTAGACAACTTGCCATTTGCTTGTAACCTCCCAAAGGCAATTTAATGCTTGTGTCCTTACCACGGCTGAGTCAGTTCTGTTGCCACAGAGAAGGTGGGGAAGAGAAGGCAGCGCAGTCTCACAAATGTCTCCTTCTTTTTAAAGACTAAAACCATACAGTGTTCATCTTTCATTTTATTCAGGTTCACTTCTCAGTGACGGGGAAGGTGAACCGCATGTGGGCCTGCTTATTTGTAATTGGGTTGGGGGGAGTGAAGTCAAAGGTTCTAAGCAGAGACCAGTTACATAAAAAGAGGTCTGTTTTTAAAACAGCAGGTTTCCCCTTACAGCTGCATTTGGAAGTCTCTGTCAGAAAAAAAAGATAGGAATCTCTTTCACATTCTCAGCATAAAGTAGGAGTTGTTCAAAGTCCTTTTCATAAGGAAAAGATGCTGAATGAAATGCAGGCAGCTATAGAGAACACAGCTCCCGCTGAAGATTAAATCTCACCCAGTGGCTCCATTCACGATCACTCGGTTTGAGGGAGCAAACAAATAGTCCCAGAAATGGCATCAATACAGTGAGAGGACAAATAAGCTGCTGTATTGATTTTGACATACATCCAAATTGGCATTTCTGCCTTAAATAAGAACTGTGAAGTTGAGTCTACTGAGAAATTGGCTCATTGGCCCCATGCAAAGACCTCACTCAGCATAAAACTGGGTTCTATAATGCTTGGCTTATTTATGTGGAATTCTCATCAGAATAGTAAAATCCAGACAATTGTCATTTACCATGGTCATCCTTGCAAATTGTTCATGAAAACCCACCTCACCAGCTAGGTTCTGACAATTGACCAGACTCTGGGTTGGATTGGAAAGTTGCTACTTTCATTAGGCAAGCAGATTTGCACTCTAAAACTATTATTCAGTGTAGGTTTGTTAAGCTGGAAACTTTACTATGTTTATTCGGTTAATTATATTTGTATGCTGCCTTTTGACAGGGTCATTAAGGTTGTTAATATCTGCCACTTTGAGTCAGTGTTCTGTAAGCTCAGGGTGTGCAAATCTCTGTTCTTATGAACAAGTTAACATTGTATTTCATTGGTTGTAGCAGATTCAAGAACAGTCTGCTATGTTCAGCTTTGATAAACAGACTGAGAATTTTGTTTAAACAGTTCATTCTTTGCTGAAAGCAAAGTGATCCCGTCTTCTATAGCAGATGATCCGTGACTAGTAGCTGTCATATTAATATACTGGCACCTAGTAATAGATACTTTTGGTTGAGGCCTGCCACATCACCCAAGTTATTATTGGCCTACTTTCTGTCTTTATCTGAATTAAGATAGTATTGACTATAAACTATGAAGCTATTCTCATGTATCCACCATGTGAAAGGGTTGCTAGCATGGCAGGCACAGGGGCACGTGTCCCTACAGAGGCCTTCTCTGGCATCCAGAAGGTCCCCTTCCGTTGGTGAAATCAGGTTTGAAAGAAGCACACTTTTGTATTCTGGGTTCCAACAACATGCTAAGCCGAATGATGACTTAGTTCAGTGCAACAGCAAAATGGCCAGGGAGGAGCAAAGCGGTCACAATTGCCTCTCCAGAAAGCTGCATGTCTGTTCCTTTGTGCTAAGCTGTGCTTTGGCTTCACTATGATGGATGTGTCCTCAGGGTAAAGGTCTTCTGAGAGTTCGTGGCTGAAATTGGAGCTCTGCCAATAAAAATATTCCACAAGAGGTTAATCTTAAAATGTTACGGTTTTGTCCTTCCACAGGATATGCTTTGGATCCCTCAATAGATAATTATGAAGTTCCTACTAAATATATTGGTTCTGTTGAAGAAGCTGAAAAGAATCAAGGTAAAGAATATTTGTTATAGCGTCGCCTAATTACAAAGTTCAATCAGTTGTGTGTGTGTGCATTACCAAAATGTTTAAAATAAATTGTATATAATGGATGAAATAGTAGTTTACTTAAGTAGGGAGGTGCTTTTAAGCGACTGATGTTGGACATACAAAGGGACTGCTTCTGGAACATAGCAGAAGTCAGGCATAGTGTGCAAAGAACTGTGTGTATCTCAACTTCTTGACAGAATGCTAACAAGATTTGCATCTTAGATGTTTCTTCATTGGAGTGTGCAGAAGGCGGTGATAGGTCAGTTGCCGATGAAGGCACAACTCTCTAGAAAGGCTAATAAAATATAGCGAGAGCTGATTGGTTTATCATCTTGTGATTTTACAGCTACCATTCACTTTGCATGCAGTGCTTGTTTCTTGTTTGACAGATCATTTGAAGATGCATGTCCAAGGCCAACAATTGGACACAAAAGCCTCAACTTCCCCTAATCTAGTACATTCTCTCTTTTCTGACAACACTGAAATGATTCAAGTGGAATGGTGAAGTGTGGAATGTGGAAGAGTACATTGTTGTTCTTAAAGTGAACCTAGACATAAACTTTTGCTACTGCCTACAGGTCTGACTGTGTTTGAAACAGGACAAAAGAAAATGGAGAAACGGAAGAAATTCAAAGAGAATGATGCATCTAACATTGATGGCTTCTTGGGACCGTGGGCAAAATACGTTGATGAAAAGGATGTTGCAAAACCTTCAGAAGTGAGCACCCCTTGTTTATTCTTCGAAGTAGAATAGTAGTGGTGATGCTTAGTCTGGGATCCCATGTGTGGTCTTAGGGGAGTTCCTCACATCTTGCATCAGGGTGTCTGGCTTTCCCTTCCAGCTCCAGCTGCTTTTATTGCATTGAATGCTGCCCTGAGAGTCCCCTGAGCTTCTGGTGACTGAGGATGGGACACGGAGGGCTGCAGTGGGAGGGGTCTTGAAAAGTTCCCGTTGTCAGAATCAGTGTAGGTTTATTTGGGCAATCTTTCTGAAGGCGCAGCGAGTGACAGGAGATGCCAGGGCTGCACACCAGTGGTGGTGGTGGGGGGGAGCTGGAGCCAATAGTGGGCCCAGAGCAAGAAGTGGCCAGTGCAGAGTTAACTGTGTCTGCCCACCATGTTGGGCTGAATTCTTTTATATTGTACATGTGCATCTCTGCTGTTCCTTCTTGGTCATTTGTGTGCTTTCTATTGCTCCCTTCCATTCAGAAACTGCTTCTTCTTGAAGCAGCAGCAAGGTTGATCTCTTCTCCATTGGGTGCTTGTCCCCCTAGCAACATTTGCCCCCTTCTCTCACTGTCTCAGTATTGGGTGCCTTTCTCAGGAGGCTCTTGTTCTGTGTCTGGATTTTCCTTCTGCCTGACTTAGTTCCTAACAAGAGGAATCTGACACTGCCATAAAGGGAAACTATTCGGCAGGGTGTCGGAGGCTTGGAGACCCAACCATAGAGCTCAGTGGCTAGAGCAACATATTTTGAAGTGGGTTCTAAGTGCCATGCTTTTTTACTCAGTCTCTGAGCCCGCACATATGCCCTGACTATCTTCACTGTGGTGGCAGGTGATCAGAGTGATTTCTGCGTGAAGGTATGGGACATGCCACTGTGTCCAGTCCCAGATATAGTAAAACATTGGATTTGTCCATTGATTTTTGTAGGCATTTATCACTTTCATCTCAGTGGTGCTACTTAAAATTAACGTCTTGCTGTAAGCCAATAAATTACTTACCAGGTCAATAAGAGTGTTCTCCCTACCCTTTTTATACCTGTACCTCTTCCTCCCTCCTTATTTCCAGCTGGTCAATTTCATTTCACCCTCTACTTGGTTTTCTGCTCACTTCATATTGAACTGCTTTTGGGGTTCCCCCTTTTGACTTCTGCAGACTCTGGAGTTGTGTATGGCTGTTGCTGTTTGACCATATAAGCAATGAATTGAATCAGAATTGGGAAACATGTTTAGAATTTATTTTGCGAAAACTTGTTTCTAAACTGAATAGTTTACTGACCTTTTGTTTAACATGCTTTTTTGACACCCCCCCCCCAAATAGCATTAAAATTGGAAACTTTAAGTGAATTCAGTGAAAATATTCTAGATTTTGTTGTAAAAACAAGACTGGTAATTTTTAATGTTTGGGGTACTTAGGAAGAACAGAGGGAACTGGATGAAATAACAGCAAAGAGACAAAAGAAAGGCAAACATGAAGATGATAAGCCTGGAGAAGAGAAGACTATTTTGCATGGTAAGTGCTTTCTTTGGCAGCTGATTTGCATTTCCTGCATCTACTTTCAAACACTTGTTTATCAGGAATAATGTATATTGTCATTTATTTGCTATGTTAGTTCTTCTTGCAGCATACCATGTAGGAAGAAATGATCTCTAAAAGAAAACATGGTGCCAGAGACACAAGGGGGATTTCAGTAAGGAAGAAACTTAGAAACAGCCTGGTTTTGTTGTTTCTGGTAACACCGGAAAGAATTTCAAGATGTGGTTAAATTTAGCTTGCGGGCAGATTGTATTATTGGGAACACTGTGGAAATGTCATTTGCTTGTATATTCATTTCAAATGTCAGTTCCTTGTATTTTAATTTGCCAGCCTCCTTTTCTTGGCTGTCATTTGTACCACATCAAACTTAATCGTTTGAATCTTTACTTTTGTCAACTTTTAGATCATTACATATTGATCTTGCCTCATTTTTGACGATATAGGAATGTAGGCTTCATTGTTGACTATAAAGGCTTGAAATTGTCATTTTGAATTTTGCTGCTGATGTGGAAGCAATTCATAGGATTATGGAGAAAAGTCTTTTTTGTTCCCCACTTCTACATCATGCATTTTCTTAACCTAATGTTTCGCTCCTCTCTTTGTCACATCTCTCCTGAGAGTCACACATGTGGCAGGACTTCATTCACATCTCCTTTTTTATAGAACCCTCTTGCCCATCACCACAAATGCAATGATAAGTTGCAAGTTAACTTTGAAATTTGAAGTTACATGCAGTGTTTTAATGTACATTTCACTGCTTGGTGCCTTCCTCAAAGACTGCAAGGTGTGTGCAGAAATTGCAAACAGGATTTCTGAATTGTTTCTCATTGGATTTTCATAAACCAATAAAAAAACCGTAACATTGCAATCAAATCACTTTTGATGTTTCTTGATACAGAGCTGGGTATTTAAAACATAAATATTATACAGCGTTGGGTATAGCATTTTAGCCTATGGAGATTTAAATTGTCATGTAAGAGGCATGAAAAAGCCAACTAGAATAAAGTATTTAAGATCATGAATGTGTGTATCTGGTCAGAAGAAGTTAGTTTTTGAGCTGTGTAGTTAGTAGATTATTCATTTTAATCACCATTGTGTCCTAAAACTGATTTCATCCATGTCATATTTGAGGGAGACTGTAAATCTGCATGTTCTAATTTTGTTTTGTTTATTTTGCAGTCAAAGACATGTATGACTATCAAGGGAGATCCTATCTTCATGTTCCTCAGGATGTTGGGGTTAACCTACGTTCAACAGTACCCCCTGAGAAATGCTACCTTCCTAAGAAACAGATCCATGTATGGTCTGGTCATACAAAGGTAAGAGACAATTAAAATATTAAGTTTTCTTGGTTTCATAATTATGGGCCCAGCATCATTTTTTTTCCAATTTCAAAAATTGCCCTTGCACAAACATATTTCATGTGCCAGCTTGTATTAATTCAGTACTTGGTGATCCTATATAGGTGGAGACACTTGTGGGTAGATTCAGCTGCCCAGTTCTCTTAGCAGAAGCCAGCACAGGGACTCCCACTACCACAGTTGAACTTCCCCCTGTGCTGCCTCCAAATCCTCTCTGGTGGGTGGGGAGAACAACCAGAATATGGGGTGAGAAAGAGAAATAGGAGGTCAAATGTCCAAAGTCTTCCAAATGCAGCACTGTATGGTTGCTCAGCAAGTTGCTAAACTTGCCAAATTATTTCCTTTGCCACTAGGTAAGGTTCCTCTGCAGTGGAGGCAGGAGTGGACTCTGCATTATCCCAATTCTCACCCATACTTTAGACCGGTGTCATTAGGTGCACAATAGTGTTCGTTTGCTAATGGTGTGTGAAAACCTTATTACTATATTCGGAACTATGAATATTTAATTTCACACTCTATATAGGCCATCATTCTTTCACCATTAAGCCATGATACAAGCACACAAATCCCCTGAGATGCAATTCTCTCAGCCAGTTAGTCTCCTAACTAATAATTCCCTGTCATGGGTCCCTGTTAGTGAACTAAACTGGCTTTGAGAAATGTGTTTTCTTATTCATACAGAGGTTGTTTATATATTTTGCACTGGTAGTCCTCGCTGTACATTTTGTAGAATTACAAGTGTGTTCCTGTGATTTTCTGTTGCTAATCTTTGAGACTTTCTTAGGGAGCTTATACAAATTCAGATGCCTACTTAAAGATGGTGGGAATGGAATGGCAGAAATTATTCCTCAAACTTTAGCACATATAGCTGTCATTTAGATGCAATATGCTTAACTTGAATCCATGAGGGCCGCCACAGCCATGGGCAAACCTGCAAAAGCTTGATTCAGTTAGATTTGGAGTGCCTGCTTAGTAGTTACTCCCAGGCTTTTTCAATATGTCATATTGAAAGCTATGGGCCTGAGTCAATGAAGTTGTTGTACTAGCAAAAGCCAGTGCAATGAGTCCCAATAGTGCAACAGAACTACCCCCAATGTGTGTCCCCTGTTGTTGTTTAGTCATTTAGTCATATCTGACTCTTCATCACCCCGTGGACCAGAGCACGCCAGGCACTCCTGTCTTCCACTGCCTCCCGCAGTTTGGTTAAACTCATGCTGGTAGCTTCGAGAACACTGTCCAACCATCTCGTCCTCTGTCGTCCCCTTCTCCTTGTGCCCTCCATCTTTCCCCTGTACTGTCCCCAAATTGGGTTGGGAGAACCCCAAGAACCATACATGGGGTGGGGGTAGGAGGGGGGAATTCCACTGATAAAGCTGTATTCTTAAAAACAACAGCAACAACCAGAGCCTTTTATTCAGGGGTGAGAATAAAAATCGGGTGAGAATAAAAATCAGCATGACTTCAAAACATTGATAATGTTTTGAAAAGGAACCCATTTTCCAAACACACAGTACACGTTTCTTTGTTAAGAGGTCTGGTGGGCACCAGTGCAACTTGTGCTACTTACTCTATTCAGTAGTATCAAGACAGCGACCTGTTGAATCAGCAAACGCAATTGTTGCTGTGCCAACAGCTAAGTTAGTGGCATTGGCAGCCACCCTTTAACAATGAATGTCTCCTATAGGATCAAATATAAACAAGTTTGGAAAGAAAAGAAAAATATTTGTAGCTATTTCATAGTTGTTTTTATTTATAAGGGAGTCAGCGCTGTCAGACTGTTTCCTCTTTCTGGCCACTTGCTGTTGTCTTCTTCCATGGACTGTAAAATTAAGGTGAGTACCTTCAGAAAGTACACTTATTGCTGCCTACAGATGGTTAAATTCACATCAAAAGTATTGGGATATGCCTCCCTTTTGACACTCATGTCAAGGCAAATTCAGTTGTTGCCTTTTTGTTGCGCTAATGTAATAGGTCAGGTTCATAATGGAATTTTCTGTTTATCATGAAACAAATAGTGACTCTTTGATCATTGTAAAGCAACAAGAAGAAATATATACCAAGCAGGCCGCCTTACAAACTTTTTGTGTGGGGAGGCGAATCTCCTTGGTCAGTGGCTTTAACTTAGCCTGTAGAGGTCAAGTCATATATTCTGGTAACCTTTACTATTTCTTTCTGTTTCCTTCAATAATGATGACTTCAAATAGATGTCTGACATCTGTTCAGCTACTCTGCACTGACATCTTGCTCAAAACAGGCAGCAATCTATCTCCATAAGTGAGGGAAAGAAATGCACACCTGCCTCTCCATAAAGCAGAGGCCTTCGTGCATAACAGCCCAGTTTTGTGCTGTTTCTACTTTTAAAAAATTCCTGAAAGGGGGCTGCAAAAAAAAATGGGCTGTCATGCATGCAAACTTTTGCATGGAAGATGCACCTCACATGTTACTGTTTGTGTTTGAGCTCAAAAGTGGATTGCTACTCAAATAAAGTATGTGGAACAGGCTATGCTTTTCCAAAACTGCTGTTAATTGAGACAGCATGTAGTAGATCTCTTATGTCCCAGTCCACCACGCTAGCCACTACATTACACTGGTTTTCTCTCTTTAGGGATGCAATATTTATTCAGTTTATCTTAATTTCTTTTGATCAGTGGAAAATGTGACCCTGTTTTTTCAAAAGTGTATAACTGTTCTCTGCTGCCTTGCCGGATATTGTCGAGAGAAGAAAGTGCTAAGGAGTAAACCCTACACAAATCAGGAGTGGAGTCCTTAAGACGGAAGGATGGTGCCTTGTACGCCTCCTTCCAGCCACTCCTGCATCCAAGCTGGTGCCAAATGTATTGCTCTGCTTTCCTTTGGACCACATGAGTGAGGCTGAGAGAGGGGTCTCGTCCGTCTGGGCAGCCCAGGACCCCCCTACACACCACCCAGGTTTGCGCCCCGCGAGGTCACCTTGGTGCTGCAAACGCAGCAGTATGTTTCTCAAGACAGGCGGGTGCCAGCAATACAATATGTAGTAAGACATGGGGGAGAGGTACACGTGGCAATGCAGCTGCACTTTCCTTCTCCATTGCTGCTGCCACTCTTCCCTTGTTTGTTGATACGCAGTTCCAAGAAGTAGCTCTGTGAACATCCTATGAATCAGCAAGTTCTCTTGGTATAACATTTTTCAAATCACACAGTTAATTACATTTTGTACATTTTGTACCTGTTTTCTTATATTATGGGAATTACTTTTTAAAAAACCATAGCTTTTCATTCAGCAGGTGTTCTAAAGCTTTTTTAACCAAGAAAGAATGTTAACAGTACTGGATTTGAAATAGTGTGAATGTATGTTTTTCTTAGGGACATGGGTGGCACTGTGGGTTAAACCACAGAGCCTAGGACTTGCCGATCAGAAGGTTGGCGGTTCGAATCCCCGCGACGGGGTGAGCTCCCGTTGCTCGGTCCCTGCTCCTACCAACCTAGCAGTTCAAAAGCACCTCAAAGTGCAGGTAGATAAATAGGTACCGCTCCAGCGGGAAGGTAAACGGCGTTTCCGTGCGCTGCTTTGGTTCTCCAGAAGCGGCTTAGTCATGCTGGCCACATGACCCGGAAGCTGTAGGCCAGCTCCCTCAGCCAATAAAGCGAAATGAGCGCCGCAACTCCAGAGTCGGTCACGACTGGACCTAATGGTCAGGGGTCCCCTTTACCCTTTACCTATGTTTTTCTTGTTGGTTTTGTTTTGTTTTGTTGAATTGCTTCAAGAAATTTTATGGGAAGCAATTCATAAATGAGGCAAAAATAAGATGGGTTTAATTTAAAATAATAAGTTGTGTGCATTAGCTGTTCTACTTGCATTTTGTGTCTTCCTTAAACCATATTGTAAAATGTATTTTCCACCCACCAGCTCTGGGAAGTATATGGTGAACGAAGATGCTTAAGAACTTTCATTGGTAATGTTTTTTTAATATTTTTTTTAAAAAAATCAGCTTTTTAATAAATGATAATTGCGTCAGATTCCAGTTGTGTGCTGCCTTTAGCAATATGTCCAAATATTAATGTGTGTCTCAGGGGAATAATTAGAAATGATGGATGCTAAGAAAATAATTATTGAGCATGGTAGTTCAAAATCCTCCCTGCGGATTCATTCATGTGTGGTACATAGCTAAACACACATTTATCCCAAGTAAAGCAATTGGGTGGTACCAGAGGGGAGGGCAAGGGAAGCTCCCACCCCAACAAATAGCTTATTCCTCCCCCCCTCGGATCTTCAGGGCTGCTTGTTTTTAGAATGGGGTCATTAACGTGAAATATTTGTATTTTTGCTCAGCATCTCTTTCCACTTACATTTTAAAAACTATAGTTCATGTGAAGTAGCCTAAGGACACCCTGATCCTAGTGAGGGGTGGTGCACAGGTGGACCTCCCTGTGCGCAGCCACTGCTGAATTGAGAATTGCATGCGCGAAAAGGTGCTGTATCCTTAGTTTCCAGTGTTGGATTGAGAACCACAGTCACAGCACTTGAACCCAAATGGTTTGTGCTCTTAATTGGATAGAATAGGTTGCTTTTAAGGGGAAGCAGGGGCGATGGAGATGGGAGGACTGAATAGAGGGGGAGATAAAAGTGCCTGAGCCATATTGCAAATCACAGACACTGCGCGTCCAACAACTGCCCTAGTACCGAAAAGAAAAACGTCTGGTACCCTTTCCTACTAATACTATATATATTTCTCCTGCAGGGCACAGTAAAGCTGTTAGAGATATATGCTTTAACAATGCTGGGACTCAGTTTCTCAGTGCTGCATATGATCGGTATCTTAAACTCTGGGACACGGAGACAGGTAGGCGAATGCTTGTTATGTTTCCTCTTTGATACCTGTATTTTTGTGAATGACAAATACAACTGTTAAAAGTGCAACAGGGTGGCAGGAGCGCAGATCCCTGTACAGCATTATCATCTTAGAATAGCTTTGCTTTTGGGGTGCATTTAAACCGTTGTGGAAAATGGTTGGTTCAAAAGTGAATAAGGGTGTATTTATCAAATAGGATAAGGAAACGTAGCTCAGTGATAGAACATCTTGACACTCTGGCATTTTCAGGGTGGGCTAGGAAACACCATTGTCTGAATCCTGGGGAGTTCACTGCCAATCAGGACCACTGTGAACAATCTTGAATTAGATGAGTTAGAGTGTTTTGAGGGTAACTGCCTATATTTCTGTACTCCAGAAATTATATTTGTTGGCAAAACTAGGTTTGTTGCTTTGTATTGCATGAAATGGCCCTCAGTGGATTGGGTTTGGTAATCTGGATTTAAGGCAAATGGCGCACACTTCAGAAATATAGGTTTAGGCTTATTTTATTATGTGCAAAATTGTCATCCCACCATACAACCCAACAGCTACAACAAAACGAAGAAGCTGGGTATGTGAATCTCTTCCTCTTCATTGATCTGTTTCCCCTCCCATCCCCTCTCTAGGACAGTGTATTTCAAGATTCACAAACAGAAAAGTTCCCTACTGTGTCAAATTCAATCCAGATGAAGATAAGCAAAATCTTTTTGTAGCAGGAATGTCAGATAAGAAAATTGTACAGGTAAGTTAGAAAATTCAGAGTATTTGGTAAAGATCATGCAGAAACAATTTGAAGATCAAACCAATTGACTATTTAACCAGAATTCTTTTCGTATTGTTGCAGTAATAATAGGCTATTTCTGTTACAAAATACTTGGTTTTAAAAAATGGATCATTTTCTTCACCATTTTTAAGTAGTTGTTTGGATTTGTCTTGCAGTGGGATATTCGAAGTGGAGAAATTGTTCAGGAGTATGATAGGCATTTAGGTGCTGTTAACACCATTGTTTTCGTGGATGAGAATAGAAGATTTGTGAGTACATCTGACGACAAGAGTTTAAGAGTCTGGGAATGGTAAGTAAAAAATTTGTGTCTTGACTTTTTTATTAGAGAGGAAGAAAATATAGTTTGAGTAGTGAATGTATTCTCTTTATACTTTCCCCCTCAATATAGCCATGATGCCAACTGGTTGCAGAACTTTAGACTTCTTTCCTGTGAGTCTACCCCATCCAGAATGTTTAGTAATTTCTCGACTTGGTTTTGCAATTTATGCTGTAGAATCAATAAGTTTTAGGACCTGGAGACACAAGTCTCCTCCCCTTCTCTGGAATTGATGATGCTGAGATATAGCATATAATGACATGGCCTGATTCCTAAACCTTGGTTAGCTTGCATCTCTGTACCAGCCCTGAGATAAAACTTAGGAGGGACCACAGTTTACTCCACATTTAAAGGGGATGTCGAAGAAACAATGGGCAAATACGGCAAAGAAAGGAGTATGCTTTCCAGTGTTGTGTCAAATAGTGGGTTATTCGAGAAAGGATGCCAAGACACAAACATTTTACTTCCAGGTCAGAGACTGGAATTATCAGAATGAAGACATACTTTTAGTCAGGTTTCTTTCTTTCTTTCTTTGTTTTTAAATGGAACCGTTGCAATAAAATTATTTGTTTGGGCTTTGGTTAGTTATTGACTCTGGGGAAAGAGCACCACCTACTGGCTTTACCAGTACCACTTCATAATGCTTAATGGCCATATGAACCATGAGGAATGGGCAGATGAAATATGGAAATCACAGTAGATGCAAACGGAGAAATTCATGGAGTGACAGTTACACCTAGTGTCTGTACTACCTCCATTATCTGAAGTGGTATAGCTCTAATTATCAGTTGCTGGGAATCTCAAGTGGGACAGAGTGCTGTTGCACTGGGCTCCTGCTCTAATCTTTCTTGGGGGGGCATTTTGACTTCATTTTAATGACTTCTGAAGTTGAATAATAAACTTCAAAATAGCAGAATGTTTGGTATAGTGAGTGAGAGATTGGTTGAGGGCCCTCGCATCCTGTCTACTCAGATTTGCTGTGCCCTTCAGGGTGAGGGTTACTTGTTTTCTTAAACAAAAACAAATGTGTGGTTTATCTAAAATGTGTAGGATTCTTTTAATGATGTGCTGCATAAAAGCTGGACATGAAGTACTGAAGTTATTTGCCATAACAGGGAAATAGGTTTGCACCGTTGCATTTTTGCTTCTTAAAGGTGTGAGTGAATCTTCTAAAAAAAGCTTTCCTGTCTTTCTGTTGGCCCAAAGCGCCAGTGGTAGAATTTGATTACTTTGAATTTATATGATCTCATGGTTATATGAACAAAATTAAGCTGCAATTAACCTTCATGAGATCATTTACACTCCATCTAATTTGTCATTAATGTGATGTATGTAAATATTATGGAGGTTAATGTAGCTGTGTAATGAATGGTTTCTGCATTGTTAAATCTTCAGTGCCACCCACAGACCGCTGATGATATTTATATCAGCCATAGCAATTCTCAAGAGTTTCCAAAGACCATTTAGTTAACCAAAACTAAACAGTTAAATGCCTTGAGCAGAATCATGAAGCAAAAGAAAGTTCTAGTGGGAAATCTTTTATTCTTTGTTCAGAAGCATGTAAGTGTGCTGAAGTCCTTTAACTCTCTCCTACTTGAGGCAGATCTTCCCATGTATTTATTTTCAAGTATTTATTTATTTTTGAAAAACAAGAAAATCATGTTGAATGCTGCCTTTTTCTTTCTACAAATCTTGAGATATTACTAGGAACTATTCATAGTACTGGTGAAGCAGCCGCCAGCAGGATTGAGCCTTGCCCTCCCCCATTAGCCCACGGTTCAAGCTTCCCTACCCTAGTCTAGAGCAGGGGTAGGCAACCTAAGGCCGAGGGGCCGGATGCGGCCCAATCGCCTTCTCAGTCCGGCCCGCAGATGGTCCAGGAATCAGCATGTTTTTACATGAGTAGAATGTGTCCTTTTATTTAAAATGCATCTCTGGGTTGTTTGTGGGGCATAGGAATTAGTTCATTTTGCCCCCCAAAATATAGTCCAGCCTACCACATGGTCTGAGGGATGGTGGACCGGCCCACGGCTGAAAAAGGTTGCTGACCCCTGGTCTAGGGCATTATTCAAAAATAAAGAACTAGAGAGATCTGCAACAAAGTGCTGCAGTGCATACCCAGGAGTGTTCCTTTTCAGGGCTCCAGCTAGCATAGAATCCGGAGTCTTGTGACATAGTGTGGGTTTGTGAAGGATAGGTAAAGAGACTTCTCCCCAACTCTTCTCTTTCCAGCCCTCCTAAAACCACCTCCACAGTGCGCATAATGCCAAAGGGCTCAGATTTAAAGCTGGCTGCCTGGCCCAAACCTGAGTGCAATTTGTTGTTATACACAGGGAGGGGAGCTCTGGAGAATGAGAGAGGAAAATGCTGCTGCCCCACACCAGCTGTCATTTATGACGGCTGGTGTAGGGCAGGTGAGTGTGGCTTGGCCAAATGACAGGCCTAATTAGGCCTGTGGGCGAGGTATCTCCCACTGCTGCCCTACCCCTTCCAGTGCACTATAAACTGTTAGAAGCTCAAGCCAGCCGATTCCTTCCTCCTCCATTGTTTCCAGCTGATACCCTCAACCTTTCAGGGCTCAAGTGCTGTTTTGAGGCTAGGGTTTTTTCATGAGCAGGTGGTAACATTTTGCTTTAACTGGCAAACTACTGTATGACAGAATGCAGAAACCCCACAACATTGTCCAGGGCAGGGGGCTCATTTCACTTCAAAATGCTTAGGCATTAGACCACCCACTTTCTGCATTGAAGGAGATCGTGATTCCTAAATTTGGAACACAGGGAGAAAGAAAGTAAGTGTATTACACATGGCGTTGTTAGACACTGCAGAATTCAGTAGCCAAGTAAACCCATTTAGACTGCAGACCTCTAGGCCCCTCTCCTAATTTTGTTTGCTAGGTGTATGTTTATAGTATTTCATCCATATATTTGTCTTCTTTCATAGGGACATACCAGTAGATTTCAAATACATAGCAGAACCAAGTATGCACTCAATGCCAGCAGTGACTTTGTCTCCAAATGGTAAGCCAACGTATCTTCTTAGGCCTCTCATAGAATAATTTATTGCTTTAGAATTTAGCGCTTGAGGCTCCATATTTATGGCAGAATACAAATCCATGTTAAGTCCTATTACAACCAAAATAATTCATAATTCCATGTTTCAGATTGTGTGTCTTTGTAGAATGCAAAATTGGGGCTTTATTTTTTTAAATATACTATGGATATCAGATGTAGAAATCTAAGTGCATGAATTTATTTTAAGAATGACATTTAACATTCTTTTTTTTTTTTACTCTTAACAGGGAAGTGGCTGGCTTGTCAATCGATGGACAACCAGATTTTGATTTTTGGAGCGCAAAACAGATTCAGGCTAAATAAAAAGAAAATATTCAAGGGCCATATGGTGGCTGGGTATGCTTGCCAAGTAGATTTTTCACCTGACATGAGGTATGCTTCATTATAGTTCATCTGGTTATCATGCCCCATTTTGATTTTCAGACTTTTTCCCCATGGTCTGATTTTGGACTCTAAAGTGATTAAAAGATGTTTTTAAACTGTCGAAAGAGTCCTCATATGTGTATAGTCTGTAACAATGATTCCGGATTAGGGAGGAGGATGAGTGTCCAGGTTCCTCCATCCAGTAGTCAAGGCTGCACATGTGGTGCCCAATACTAGCAGTGCTGAGCCTATGTTTTGGTACCATTCGTTTTTGACAGAATCTAGGGGGAGGGGAGGAATTGGGGGTTGTCTTCACCTTCCTTGTCATATGATGGGGCAACATGAGGAGAACTTGGTTTAATTATTTTAACCCTTTTGAGCAGCTGATTTGCATGGTGATACTGACCACAGCGGCAACCAGTTGGGCAACTGATGCACACAGCATCTTTGTAAGCAGCCCACTGCTGGGCAGGTAACTTTTGAGGCCATTGTGATTAGCGTAATTCATCGCAAAAACCCTGCAGTAGAAAGTAAGCAAGGAAAGCAATTAATATTTCATCTGCTTTCTGTGTTAAACCGTATTTTGGTGTTTTGACATAACCCTTCAAAATTTGGTTTCAATGGATTGAAGCAATTTTTAATTTCTTTTCTTTGAAGCTATGTGATATCAGGTGATGCAGATGGAAAACTGAACATCTGGGACTGGAAGACAACAAAACTATACAGTCGATTAAAAGCCCATGACAAAGTCTGTATAGGTGCCGTTTGGCACCCACATGAGACATCCAAGGTAATCACTTGTGGATGGGATGGTCTTATTAAGCTGTGGGACTGAAGGCCATACTGGAGAACTCTAAACTTCTCATCACTTGGTGAACACCTGAGATTTTGGAACACCTATTCTGCAACAAAGATGACCTGCCATCAGAATATAAAGATGGGTTGCCTCAGGTATTTCAGTATTACAGTGCACATATACCATATGGGGAATTCAGAAGACTTCATCTGAAATGTTTCCAATCTCAAACTATTATAAGCTTAAAGTGACCAAATGAAGTGGTCTAAATGGAATATCATTTGTAAGATATTTTAAAATTAAATTAAACTGAGATTTGTGTCTAGCTTTGTGTTCATGAAGCTGAAGTATACACTTCATAAGCTTCACTCTATCCTCGAAAGTGCACAATTTGGGAGAAAAATGTTTTCATTTCAGCATTGTAAGATGATGCACCTGTTTATAAATACTGTTTGGCAGTACCCTCAAATTTCCAAATACATTGGATATTTCTGAGTGTGTGTGTGTGTGTACAGTATAATAGAAGTTGTTAGAATTGTTTTTGTATTTTAACAGCAGTTGTTGGTCATGTTGAAATACACAAAGATTTTATATGTGCAACACGGTTGTTGTTTCTTTGTGAGGGCAATCCCCTCAAACCCAACAGCCCGGCTTGAAAATATGAAGGAAAGCCTAGTGCAGAGACCCAGATAGGCAGAGGATGTCTATCTGTTGCTGTGTTTAGCTCCAGGATGGTTTCCATCAAGTCCTGGATGTTTCTCTTCACCATTATCCATTTTGTGGAACAGATGGATATAGCTAATGGGTTAGATCAGAAAAATGCTTACAAAAGGTGATGAGCATGAGGTACATTTAATAGCTCCTCCCACTACCAAAAGGCCTTTCCTGGGCGTTAGGGCATGCTGCTGAGTGTGGTGGGCTGCAGCATGTAAATGGGGGCTAAAGCAGAAGTCACCAAAAATTGGGTGGGGGCACCTTCTTTTTGCAGGAGCCCAATATTCAGCAATCCACACTCTTCCTGTCAGCCCCCCACACCACAACCCATTCCATTCACCGAGGGACAGGCTGTTTGTGGTGAGATGGGACAGGAAATACACTTTATGCTCCCTCACCTCCAGGTATTTTTCTCAATCCCATTATATTTGCAGATGCATGGATTTGGATACATGCTATGGATTTGGATACATGCTAAGAAACTCTTCATTTTTATCATGACTCCTTTTTTATAATTATTATTGACAAGTCAGGTTTCTATTCTTACTCAAAGATTTTCTTTTTATAATGAAATAAATCCAAAGAATATTATGTATATATGTATAGAAGACAGTTAATGAGTAATTCATCAAATGCTGTTTTAGCATAGGCCCCATTCAGCCAGTGGAGCTTGTGCAATTAGTGAATTACTGCCTTTGTGGAGATGCTTCCAAGAGGTAGAACTGAAAGCACATTGCAGCTTCATTGCCAAGTGACCACCTATGTCTTGTAAATGGGCACTTTAATATCTATTTTTATTTCATAGAATTATGTGTTTTGTGCTAAACTACTGTACATATGTCTCAATCCTTTTTACAGATCTTATTTTTAATAAATGTTTTATATTAAAAGATGGATTCCAGCTTAGTGTAACATCTCTAGCATTGTCTGCAGGTGGCTGCTGCTGCTTCCTTCCTTTCTTTTTACTCTTTATTTGGTATTAAAGTTGTAACTGCCTAGTTTTCTGCAGTGCCAGAGTGTAAATTTATCTTTCATTGAATTTATTATATTAAAATATTGTGGGAGAATTTCTTTGTGCTGTACGTTTCTACAGTTGAAGGTGTGCAGCATCTTCAGAAATCTAGAACCGCTTCACGCATTTCTGGTAACATGGCATTTATAGTGGATGAAGCATGTAAGAATACTACATTATAGCTACGCAACTACTTTTTCATTCTAAATACATGCATCAATAAATTGCTGCTGCCAAATTTGTGTTTCCCATCTACTCACCCACTGCTACATGTGCTTCATCTAAGGGCCTAACTAGGCATGATCTCACACTGTTTTTTAAACTTAAAATCAGCTGTTTGGGGGGCGTTTGTAGTGGAGTCATAGCATGGAGACAGGAAAGGTTTCACCTTTTATCATTGCTACCATAGTCCCAGTTCCACATGCCTCCTCAAACAGCTGTTTGCCCCATCGGTGTGAAGCATGCAGGCACCTGTGTGCCACTTTGGGAGGATTCAGATAGGCCAATTGCAGGGGGCTTAATTCCCCCAGAAGCCCCAATCTGAGTTGCCTTTTGAAAACCTTGGCTGTTGCTGTGTGAATTTACACAACTGTTTTGTAGTTGTGCATGGCTGCTTCTAAAAATGGGGTCATGGACCAAAACAGACACATTTCACACATGATGACGGGCAGTTAATAACAGCATATGTTGTAAACCACCATCCTGATAACCTTAGCCCCCGCCCCACAGAAGAAAGCTTAGTATTTTAAGATAGCTTTTTTTGGGGGGGGGATGCTATTCAGCCATGAAGAAACAATTTATTTTCCACACATTTTGAGTTTTTAATCAGTATGATGATGAAAACATCTCAACAGGCTTGGGCTGGGCAGCAGCCAAGTGCATAGATAAAGTAAACAAAATATTTTATCTTAGAAGAGTTGAAGCCTGAATTTATAGAACAGGCTTCCTCAAACTTGGCCCTCCAGATGTTTTGGCCTACAACTCCCGTGATCCCTAGCTAGCAGAACCAGTGGTCAGGGATGATGGGAATTGTAGTCTCAAAACATCTGGAGGGCCAAGGTTGAGGAAGCCTGATATAGAAGCTATGTCTTCCCACTTTGGTGGGGGAACAAGAATATCTTTTTATTATATACCGCAGCTGCTGTATTTGCACTTTGGGTAATTTTTGACAGTGCATCTCTGAACTCACCTTCAATAGTACCGTTGAAGGGGATGAGTCGCAGTTCTGTTCCGTAGGCCGAAGCCCCTATTTCCATCTTGTATTCACCCAGCTGAGTGTATAACAACTACTTGCGTTGAAGGCTTCCCTTTTTAGGAACACCTGTGGTTTTGATAAGTCTTTGTAACTGTGAAATAGCCTGAAGTCTTTCAGTTCTAGCTCTTTGAGGAGACTGTACCAGTACCGAACCACAGTGCTGTCATTGCCGCTGACCTCAAATCCCGGCCAATGAACATGGATTTCCAAGACCAATTGCCCTATGTGTTCCACAACGTCCTCTAGGATCAGGTTTTCCAAAATTTTCCACTCTGCACTTTCCATATCTGCTTTGAGGATATCGATCTGTAACAGTATGACAAGAAAGCATGAAAAACAGGCTCCTTGTTTCATAAATCAACTGTCATATGAATCAACTGTGTATTTAATATATCAAGCTTCATCAGAGAGGCCATTTCCATGTGATTATTAGAGGTTATAGAATGGTAGATTATTTACCACAGAAAAGAGATTGCAAAGGAGGTATAAAAAGAACGAATTATTAGAAAACAGAGACATGCATTATGGTGAGATCAGTGTCCCCTTGCACAACTGACTTCTACATGTGCAAATAAGACCTATGGTTCCTCTCTTCATTGCAGCCCCCCCCCCCAGTGCAATCTGCTTTGGAGTTTGGTGGGCCACTGGAGGAGATGGAGGGGGCTGCAGGGAACAGAAGAAGCAGCCTCATCATATCTGTTGGCATATTGTTGGGTCCTGTGCATAATTCATTTTCCAAGTGTGGATCCTTATGTAACTGAACAGTTCTCTGTGCTGATACTGGTTGTATCTTAACAGCCACTGGAACATCCATACTTCCTTTCATATAACACAATAATGATAGATAACCTGATGAAAATTATCATGCAGAAGACTTCCCAAATAAAAGACCACACACACACACACACACACACACACACACACACACACACACCTACCTACAACACAGAGAGATTCACCAGCCAAGAGTTTGTCAATAGAGATTGCTCAGCTGTCCTGACTACCCTTTGACTGACTTGGCTGAACGAAGTGCTATCTGTCATTTCCATGGGCACTTGATTCATTCCTAGATACAAATTCCTTCCTGATTGCTTCACAGTTTCAACAGTTGCAAATAACTTGGCTTTTAGGCATCAATCCTCGCCGGGGAACAAGTCCCATTGAACTAAATGTGAGTTACTTCTAAGTAGATGTCTATAAGATTGTGCCATTAGCATCTATGGAACATTTTAAGAAAAAGGAAATCCTTTCTCTTGTCATAGTCTCTCCTGGTGAAAGCAAAAGTCACTATTAGGAACCAAAAGAAAAGACTTTATTAATGTGGAACTTGAAAAGCAAATGTCACAATAGCATCCACATTTCCCATGAAAATTATTTCGAGTATGGTGGCTGGTGTTCCTTCCTTAGCCCCTGCACTGCCTATGCCCCCAACAGATCTAAAGGCAGTTACAACAAATGACAATCATTAGGAGTAGGAGCCAGCCAAAGTTCAGCACTTTCAAATTCCACTATTTCAACAGCAGAGTCAAGTATGTGTTGAACCTTTGGCTTCAGGTGGAACATGACTATGGAAAACAAGAGACATCAGTGGAAGTGGTAAGGAAATGATTGTGGCTCATGGCTGTGAGCACCAAACTCCAGGATAATGAGTTGCTCTTAAATATCCCAGTGTGGTACATTTTACTATATAGTCCCTAGATCATGCAAGGCTATTTAAAGGAACTAAGCTTATAGATTGCTTTTTTAAACAAGACTAGAGCATTCCCTTGAGACTGGATGTCAAACATCTGAAAGGCACTCGTCTCTTCTAAAGAAGAAGTGCAAACATGGAATGCTATGCAGATGTTTGCTTAAGTATATTAATTACTGCAGGACTGCTACTGCTGCCAAAGAAAAATCCCTATTAATGCTTTTGCAGAAGAGGATTCATAGCAATTTCCTTACTGTGTGTGAAAGAGAATCTAGACTACTTAGTATTCACGTCAGACATTTGTTGTCTCCACCCAGATCCACAGCTGTCAGTTTATGTCTTCCAAAAGGAGAAAAGAAAAAGTCCATCTTGGAAGATGGAGAAAAGCATGCACTCGTCACCAGGCTCCATCTGGTGATAATTCAGTTGTGCCATCTCAGTTTTGCTGTGTGCGCCATCTGCATGATTTTGCTTCATGCCCTGTTTAACTCTTCAATACCTATTAACTGCCTGCAATAATTAAATTAGGGTCAGAGCAGACAGCGCAACCTTTGTGGGGGCTGCTTGACAGAGCAAATGTGCCCACCCAGTGAACTACTTTTGTGTAGTGACCTACTGAGTGGATGGATTTTCACCTGGGCAATCCTGGTGGTTGCTCTTTTTTCTATTTGTGTGGTGGGATCCCATACAGAAAATAATTCAATACCTGCAGTAGGCAGCAAGCTCCTACTTAGGGCAATTGAAAATGACATCCACAAGACATCTGTTTGGTGTATTAGGTCTTAAATCTTTTTTTGTATAGGGACAAGTAACAAAAGGTTCAGATATTGTACATCCCATATTTAATACGGTACAGGGGGAAACTGTCCTCCCTAAACAAAAATAGAGAATTTAGACTACTTGGGAAATATGCTCATATTCGTACACAGGATTCATTCACACAATCCATCTGCTGCAGTCAAAAGCAATAGATGGTTCATGAAACAGAGGAAGCCTATTTGTGCAGGAATGTTTGCACATAGGTCAGGGGTCTGCAACCTTTAAGACAAAAAGAGCCACTTGGACCCATTTCCAAAGGAAAAAAAACCTGGGAGCCGCAAAACCATTGCGACATTTAAAGTATGCACACCGCTGCCCTCCGATCTGACAGAGGGCGGGAAGGTGACGTCGGGACGGTGCGTGACTAACGCACACACCGACCCCATGCGACGTCACAGCCAGTACAGCGCCCGCCACAGTGGGGAGTGTCAGGGCGCACAATGCGCCTCCTCCCCTCGCTAGTATCCATCCCGGAGCCGCGGCAAAGGTGTAAAAAGAGCCGCGGGTTGCAGACCCCTGACATAGGTCATTCACAATAAGCAGCCTGATAGGGAGTGGCAGGGGGAAGCCCCACTGGGCAAGGCCCAAGACTCACTGCCATGATCCACCACATGTAGAATTTATACACACCATTGAATTAGCCCTACAATTAGAATTCCAAGAGGGATTTCATCAGTTTCAGTTCAGTGGAGAAACAGCTGCATCTCATGCTAACAGCTGTTAGCCAGTATGATACAGGTCGAGAGAGGGGGTGGGTGGAAATGTATAAATGGTGAATATGCACTGCATTTAGTAAAATGTTAAAAGTATCATAAGATACACTTGAAAAATTAGTTTAGTTCCTGCAGTTGTGCAGAAACATTAAGACACGGCGACACATTTAACCATTAAAGTTCTTGTGCCTTCTGTAAACACCCAGCTCACTGGTTGCTATGTTTCCATGTGACATATAAGGTAACCAGGTATATCTGAATAGGAGTATCTTAAGATCTATTCAGAGAAAAATATGCTCCTCCATCAATTTTGCGGGTATTTTAAAAGAAACATCTCCCCCCACCCCCACCCACTGTTTCCAGTGGGAAGGGAAAAACAAGGAAGTGGTTTAAATGAGCTCCTTAAGTAGACCACATGTCATCCTCATTTAGGTTTAGGGAATCCCTGGTGGCTGAGACAGCTTTGCACTCTTCAGAACCAAGCTGATTCCGAGTCCTTTCTCAAAACTGCCCCAACGCATACCGTTTCTGGCTCTTCTGATGTCAGAGCTCCAGTGTTGGTAGAGCCAAGATGCTGGAGGCTGCAGTGGCAGAAGGGAGAAGGGATCCAACACCAGATCTCTCTCTCTGACACTGCATGCTTGCACATGGTTTTAAATAAGAAGAAAGGGACATCTCCCTTACTGAAATAGTTACGTAGAAGAGGAGGGAATTTCAACGGCTGCTACTTGTCTCACAAGCTGCGATTTCCAGGATTTTCTCTCTTGCACAACTATTGAAAGCATAGAGATCCTCTTCTCCTTTGCAGTTGGTCCAGGGACCCTAGAGGAGGGGTAAATAACCAGTGGCTCTCCATATGTTGCTAGACTACAGCTCAAATCCTCCTTGACCATTGGCCATACTGGGGGAAACATATGAAAGTTCAACAACACCTGGAAGGCCACAGGTCTCTGCTTTAGAGAAAAACAGGTGTACAGCATGGTAAAAAATTTAAGGGAGTTTCCAGTTTGCATAACTATTGTAACTAGATATCTGCCTTCTCATACAAGCATTTCCCTTTTCTTACACACCTGCAAATGCAACCTTTTCTTTTTTACATAAATAAGAATCACTTGGCTTTTCCCCCTTTCCACTCCATCAGTGACAGGATGTCTTTTGTGGAAATGTTTCTGTCACATACCAGACCTTCAGGTTTGCACAATAAAAGTGGATTAAGCTGTTCTTTCACCCTAGCACAACAAATCCACTTTTAAAAAATAAACTTGTGTGGTTCAGAAAATGACAAGGAAATGCATTGAGGGTGCATCCAGACATCCTTTTCATGGTGCATTCATGGTGCTTTGTGCTCATGATGGGATCTAGGTGCTCAGTGGTTTTTTTTAAAAAAAGAGGAGCTGGCATTCATATATTGATAGGATTGCTGGGCCAGATTAAAACAGCTGCCATTGGCAGCAAAAGAACAGGTGCTGGTATTCCGTATAGGGAGTTACGGTCACAAAAATGCCCTGACATGCAGCAATGTGTGATCCCATTTTCAATACTGTTTGCTCCTACAGAAGTTCTGGGATGGACATACTGCTTCATTTCCAGTTGCTGCCTATCCTAAAACTCTCCATGCTACAATAATAATAATAATTTATTATTTATACCCCGCCCATCTGGCTGGGTTTCCCCAGCTACTCTGCGCAGCTTCCAACAAAAGATTAAAAATACATTAAAACATCAGTCATTAAAAACTTCCCTAAACAGGGAATGTTCCAGGATTGTGTGTTACTGTTTTTGTCCAGCTTTTGCTGTGTCTCCAGATGACAATAATTGCAGTAACAATGGGGAAGCATCACAGAACAACACATTAAGCAGAATCATGTGCGGACGGTCTATTGTTGCATCAACAACATTGTGAACAACACACACACACACACACACACCTGTCGAGTGGCCTGAAGAGGGTGAGATGAATAAATAACTAATGGGAACCTGTGAAAACACCCTGTAAGCAAATCGGGAAGAATGCTCATTGACTAAATCATAACAAATGCTTAATAAAGACCAGATATAATCTAATCTTGATGTAAGGATAGTGCACACAAGTCCAGATGAATACTCAGTATATGGGTCATCTGGAGGGGCTTTTAGGTTGTGGTATTCTGGCTTTGATGCCTCCCTTCACCTCATGTACTCTCAAGTTAATGCCCAAAAGAGTTGACAGCCTTGCATTCAGGAGGACAAGCAGCAGGTATTTAGCTCATAACCTACAACATTCACAAAACTGAACTGAAATGTGACTGTTATGAACAGCATCTCCAGGATAAAGTGAGCTGCTGGAAGAAGAAAAGCATAAGCTGTGCCTCTATATCTGTTGCATACGGGAAAGCTCACAAAAGAAAGACGACAGTATTAAGAGATAGCGGGTAGCCAATTCAAAGTTTGACACTACTTGCACTGCTCACACAAAAATGTTCAGCATGCTTAGAAAAAGAAAAAAGATTGACAGAAAAGCACAGCATCTAAAATGCTCCAGCATCTAAAACCCAAAACAATGACTGCTATGAAGGTCAGATTTCTACCCTCAGCTCTAAAAAAAAAGGTGTGAGTAAGTTAAATAAAGACATGAACCAAATAGATGTGCCTTTCTACTCATGACTTTCTATACATTACTGTTGTGTTACTAGTGCACGTCATTCTGGACAGTTCTGTCACCAGACGTACACACCCCACATACACACTAAATCCATGTCAGGCAAGGGGTGTGTGATTCTGTGACCCTCCTGACAGGCCCTGCTAGCTGGCTGAGGAGAGTCCAGCAACATCTGGAAGGCCAAAGCTCCCTCAGCCCTGATGTAAGGGCTGCTCTGGACGAGCACAGGCCTGTTCCAGTCAGAGCTCTAAGGAAAGAGGACAGCAGACATGTACTTAGCAACAGAAAAACAGATCTTTGTGGAAGTGGCAACATCACCACTCTTCCCATTGCACCCATAATGAAGCCTAGAAGAGGCTACTCTGGGCAGAACTATTAAATCTTGAATTAGAAAGTCTTTCCCTTTCTCCGTGAGACACACACACACACACACACACACACACACACACACACACCCCAGCACAGCTGTCTGTTCACTATAGCAAAAAGTCCAAGTGGGCAATGCTGCCATTATTGCTCATGTGCCCCTAAGCAAAACAGGTGGTCATGCCACCATGCACACATTAAAACTACATTTTCCCAGACATTAATAGAATAGGATAAGGCGGCTTCATGATGTGCCAAAGATTGATTTTCCCTCCTTATTTCCAGATTCATTTTACAGTGTGGAACTGTAGGAAATTTCCAGGGAAGGAGCATAGCACATACTTTGCCTACTTAGTTCAATCCCCGATTCCATGGCATATTTAGCTAAAAGGGTCACTTTGCTGCCTGAGATCCTGGAAAGCTGCTGTCAGTCAAGAGACATTGAGTCACAGGAAACTGCTTTATACAATATCAGACTTTGCTCCACCTAGCTTAGTTCTAGCTACACAGGCAGTGGCTCTCCAAGGTTTCAGGTAGGAGTCTCTGCCAGTCCTGTCTGCAGATGCCAAGCATAGAATGTGGGACTTTCTGCATACATAGCAGATCCCCTGCCACTGAGTTATGGCCCCTGCCCTAGACAATTTGGGGATGGATTGACAAAGAACCTGGCTTGGTGTCATGCACCTTCCTTTGTTCTCACAATGCACAGTTTGAACTGTTTTTAATTTCTGAATTTTAAATTGTCCTGAGGTCTGCTGCTGAAGGGCAAGCAATAAACTTAGCAATAATACTACTGCTGATGATGATATTGTTGCACACCTAACCTTCATTATTGTAGGCCCAGTCATAAAAATGGAGATGCCAAAGGAGTGTGCAGGTTCTGTGTCTTAAGCATTCTACCTACGCGGTGCTTATCACCAGGACACCATGAGCATCTGAAAAACATTTTATGTTCCTGCTGCAAATTACCCTCAGGAGAGACAAAAGAATGTTGCTTTAATGATTCACCATGCATTTGCCAGCATTATGTTCCGTGTATAATCTGTTTCCCTGGTGCTACATTGTCATTCTTTCACACGCTGATGCTGAGTGTGGGAGACTGGGGAAAGAGGAGACAGATAAATTTGAAGTATACTTATGTTTACATGCAATTTCTTCAGCAACTAGAATGAAAAGTAATAAAGACTTCTAATTTCTAAACCCGCAGGCCCATAGCCCCTGCTCTACTCACAGCCGTGTGGAACTAGTACACTTAGCTGCTACAACAGCTACAAGGACGGATGAAATCCACAGCTCATCAGAGAGCCTTGAGATAGCACTGACAATCCATTTCCAGTTTCTTTTATATGACCAAAAAACATACTGGGAGTGCACTTGTAGAAGTACTGAAAGGAATGTAACATGCCAACTGGACTCATTGTTGTGGCACAGTCCCAGCCTATGTCTTAAATTTTTTTTTTAAAGCTTCACAGTTCCCTCAGCTTCCATTCCCTAGAGGCAGGCAGACCGTGGAAGCTCCTGCCAAGTCTCAGTGCGCAAGCTGTGCAAAGCTTGCTGTCTGGCAGGGAACTTGGGCAACTCTGACAGTCATTAACGCTGTGATAGCCGCATCCCAAAAGGTGGTAAAAGTACCTTTCCTGGCTATGTGCCACTCATCAGACTGGCTTGCTCAGAGCCACCTGTCAATCAGAGCCCACCCGGACAAGGAACCCTTCACAATGGAATTTGGCCAATATTCACCGTCCATCCAATCAACCTGGTGCTGCATTACTCAGGGGCCTATGTTTGTGAGTAACTACTTAGGACAGTTGCTTAGATACTTAGATAGATACTTAGGATAGTAGCTCGGTCCCAGCGCCAGCCAACCTAGCAGTTCGAAAGAATGTCAAAGTGCAAGTAGATAAATAGGTACCACTCTGGCGGGAAGGTAACGGCGTTTCGGTGCGCTGCTCTGGTTTCGCCAGAAGTGGCTTAGTCATGCTGGCCACATGACCCGGAAAAACTGTCTGCGGACAAATGTCGGCTCCCTCGGCCAGTAAAGCAAGATGAGACTTGCAACCCCAGAGTCATTCGCCACTGGACTTAACCGTCAGGGGTCCTTTACCTTTACCTTTTTACTTAGGATAGAGGAGACTTGGTATCAGGGCCAGATGAAGACATAATAATAATAATATTATAATTTATTATTTATACCCCGCCCATCTGGCTGGATTTCCCCAGCCACTCTGGGCGGCTTCCAACTGAATATTAAAAACAATACAGCATTAGACATTAAAAACTTCCCTAAAGAGGGCTGCCTTCAGTTGTCTTTTAAAAGTAAAATAGTTGTTTATTGCCTTGACATCTGCTGGGAGGGCGTTCCACAGGGCAGGCGCCACTACCGAGAAAGCCCTCTGCCTGGTGCCTGATAACCCTAGTCAACCTTAAGAGATCCCATAGCACATGAAACACCTTTAAATGAAAGTACCTTCTGAATTCTTACTTAGCATATATGAAAACTTTTTATGCTCAGGAACATAAAATCAGTTACACACATAGTTCAGCACTTAACGAAGCAGAAGAGGCATGCACCCTGTGTGTTATGCACATATCATAAAATTTAGAAATAAATAAAGCATTTAGAGCCCCCTCTTAATCTGAGGCCTCAAGCTGTAGTTTACTTAGCGTGAAATGTGTGAAGTGCTTTTTACTTCCTTTCATGCAGTATTCTGCCTTTCCCCTTTTTGTTCTCTTAAACCCCTTTCTCTTAAAACTGGTTGTAGGGGATTAATCATGCGTTGTTGTGACTGCTCACAAGATAGTCTTCTCTCCACGGTGCCTAGATCTCTGGGCCCATGCTGTTTTCATATCTAGGGAGAACTGCGGGAAAGCTAGCTGCCCTCCTTCATAGGGGGAGAGAGGTGTGGGCTGGATGCTCCCACATCTCCCTAACCAGGATGAATTCCTCACAGCCTTGAGGACTGCCCTTCTCTCAAAGTCAGAGGAAAAGGAAGGGCTGGTGGCAGCAGACCAAATGGTTAGAGACAGGAGCTGTTCCGTTCCCAGGAGAGAGGGAGGGAATGAACTCTCAGGATTTCGCTACAATAGTCAGGGCCAAGGGGGCTTTAATATCTGCAACAACAAGGTTAATGGGATTTCTGATATATCTGGCATTGACCTGAGTGCCATTTAAAGTTCCCTACAGAGAACAATCAGTTGAGAGTAAGTACCTGAGAGAAGCTATTTGCCAGCGTTATCACAGCATGTGATAAAAGCCACTAGAGAAAGCAAGATCTCCCAATTTACCACACATCAGGTTTCTTGCATCTCTGCACATAACAAGAGATCATTTCTGCAGTGCTTGGGTCCAAAGAGACTTAGGATACATAGCCATGGTGTCAAAGTTAAGCACTGTAATCTTTTCTGGTTGGAAAAGAAGGGATAAATTAATTTTCCTAGTTCCTATACTTTGCATGGATGACAAATTTACCACATTGTATATTTACATGTTTAAGCCATATGCAAATAAAGGAGTGGATTGTAACGATTTCCCTTCTTATTTGGGCTATTCAGGAAGAGTTCACCCCATAACAGCTGTTCCATCACCATGACCTATTCTTGGCATAGGGAGCATTTGGTGTTTTGCGCTTGTAGGATTTGTTTAGGATTCTGTTCCTGGGATATTAGTACCTCAATCAAGAGATACACACAAGGACTGGATGAGCAGCACAACAAACACAGAGCACCACAAGCCTGCTTCATATAACGGCAGGATGGAAAACCTATCCAAGGGTCAGGCCTCTTGCCAATATATAAGGACTTCTCTTGCCTTTCAATACACAAGCGTGTGTGCGTGTGTGTGTGTGTGTGCACGCGCGCGCGCGCACACACACACACACACACACACGAGTAAAACACAGTCCAAGGCTACCTAGAGCTTAACCCTGGAAGCAAGGGTCTATTATCATTCCATAACTTCTATTATTAGGGTGTTTAGGGCCTGCTGACACACCCATAAAAGCTATTAAGAAGAATGGCTTTAAAGCCTGAGACATCCCTGTCTGTACTATCCTGAATTGTGGATTTCCTTGGACTGATCTGGGAGCAAGTTTCTTGCCAATAAAACTTGAATAAAAAAGAACATAAAAAGAGCCCTGTTAGATCCTCCAAAGGGGGTCATCCCTAGTCTAGTACAGTGGCGGAGCAACCTGCTCTGGCACTGGGAGTGGCGTATATCCGGGGGCGCGGCTGGCATGCGTCCCAGGGGGTGTGGCATGCCACTGGCAGGGGCGTGGCACACGTCAGGGGGTGTGCAGCAAGCAGCACTTGTCTGGGGCGTGTGCGGTGAGTGGCAAGCATCCCAGGGTGCGTGCCAAGCGCCCTGGGGGGTGGGGGAGGCCGCAATGTCACCCCCCAAGGACGGGCCGCAATGTCGCCCCCACCTTCGTCTGCCAGTAGTCTAGTATTGTTTTCAAGAGTGACCAGACAGATGCCTCTGGGAAACCTACAAGCAGAGCGTGAGGCCACAGCCCTTGCTAATTTTTGTCCCCAGCATTGTGTAAGTAAAGGTGTAGCATCTTTGACTCTGGGCATTCTAATTAGCTCAAATAGTTAACAGCCATTGACAGGTTTTTCATGCATTTAGTCCTCAGTCTTCATGCATTTAGTCCTCAGACTCTACCTAAGAATAAGAACAGCCTGCTGGATCAGGCCCCCGAGGCTGGTATTGCATCTTGTCCAGCATCCTCTTCTCACAGTGGCCACCCAGAAGCCAATGGGAAGCCCACAAGCAGGACCTGAGTGCAACAACACTGTCCCCATCTTTGGTTTCTAGCAACTCTATATTGCCTCCAACACTGAAGGTAGAACAGAGCCATTGGGTGAGTAGCCACCAATAGCCTAATCCACCATGAATTTGTCTAATCTCCTTTTAAAGTTTGACCCCTTGAAAACTTCCCTTGTTCTTAACTTCACATTTCAGAAGCTTTCTTGTGGTAGTAAAATGCAGCAGTTACTATAGAATAGAATGTAGAATCCCCGTGGACTAGACAAACTTTTGTAGAAATGACTGAGGTTCTTTATTTACATTTCTATTTTTCTATGAAAAATATTGCACTAAAAGCAGGCAATTCATATTCTGCTGCACAAACTAAAACTCGCACACTGTAAAAGCCTTAAAGTGGTGGCTTTCTTCTTCTTCTTCTTCTTCTTCTTCTTCTTCTTCTTCTTCTTCTTCTTCTTCTTCTTCTTCTTCTTCTTCTTTTTTTTAAAAAAGCACCTTAACTTAATCTCTTCTGCCATCAACCAACAATAAAATGAGTTGCTCTTTCACCCCCCCCACCCCACCCTGATCCACACAATACACATTTAACACACATTTAAAGCACTGGACTTCTCCCAAACAACCCTGAGGACCATAGTTTCCCCTCACAAAGCTGCAATTCCCAGCGCCCTTCTCAAACAACAGTACCCAGGATTCCTTAGGGGAAGTGATGTGCTTTAAATGAACATTGGATGTGCTTAAACATACGGTGCAGATCTGCTAAAGATGAACTTGTGGACTGGAGGAAAAGATTCTGCTAACAATGGGCACAATCCAGTCCCAAAGGTAGGCATCAAAAGTTGAGGTTATGTTTAATTCTCTCACTGAGGTTAGTAGGACTCAGAGTGGAATCCTATGCATGTTTACTTGGCAATATCTGTAGTGCAGAAGAAAAATCCCATCTTATCTGCAGTTTTGATGTGAAGTGCCACAGGCCCAGACACAGCTGGATTCCCTAGCATACCGGATGTTTACATAAAAGAATTCATGATTTACAACAGTGAGCCCCTGTTGCTCCTTTTTGACAGAAGAACAAATATTTGCAGCTTGTTTACACCGTTCTGGTTTTAAGCTATGCGGCAAGTTTGCAATATGTAACCAGGCTCCATCAGCAGCCTCTCTCTGAATGTAAAAGCACGTTACAATGCATTTGAAATTATACCTGCAGCTGATTAGAAAGAGAAGTTTTATGTATTTCTAACACGAAGCAAATATTTAAACAAGCAGAAACATTACAGTATGTCACACATCACCCCAACCTCTGCGTGGTGCAAGATTCCAGGGGCTCCACGCGCTTC